TCCTTTTTGTACAAGTATAGCCTTAACGGATAGAAACTTCGGTTTACTCGATAAAGATAGGGACTCAGCCCTAGAGTTCCGGCTCAGAGAGGTACGATTGCAGTCTAGGGACATGTACTGATCAGACATATTTTGGCATTCGACCGGCCGGTCTATCTTGAAAAATTTTGAATCAAACCATAGCTCTGATACCATTAAATGTAACACCCCAAACCGATGCGGGTAGCCCGATCCAATTCGGGAAGTCACATTAGGGCCACCGGAGCGACCCACCGTAAAAATAGCGGAAATTTTAAAACTTTTTATCAGAACATGTAAACTTATAAAATCATTTATCACTATTTAAAAATAAAACAGATTTCCAAACTCGTATATAAATCAAAATACAATTACATGCCCCCTAATCACAAGTACCATACTCTGCAACCACGCCGGAAGAACTCCCTTACTGAAGTCGATAGATGCACTGGTACAATTGTTTTAACCTGAAAAGGTGAGTAATAGAGTGAGCTTTGGAAAGCTCAGTAATACAAAACTACCAGATGATGCTACATGACATGTAGATAAATGGAAAGCCATATAATTTCCTTATTGAATCATACGTATACTAGCTTGCAGAATAATTTGGGGTTCCATTAAAAGTTCATCGAGTAGAAGCCATGAATCTCAGTTCATAAGAAACCTTTCAAAGTATGACATTTTCAGGAGATCGAATAGGATGTCTAGTGTGTTCCAACAGTATAATAAAATCATAATAGGTACAAATCATAGTCCAGTAAATCTCACAATTTCGTAAAAGAGTTTAACTTTTGAAAATCATAGTTTAAACCCTTTTCTGGTACACCATCAGTAGTTCCCAAAAATTATTTTCCATATAGCTTACTTTATGCACATAGCAAAAAGAAAGCCGACTTAAGGATAGGCTATGAAGCTTGTATCCTTAAGCCCAAGTCAATAAGTCCATATAGCTTACCCTAAGCACACAGCAAAGGAAAGCCGACCTAATGAAACATCTTGGGGCCCTCAAGAGTCACATTAGGCCCATTTAGCTTGATCAGAGCTATTCCATCGTAATTCAATTCCAAAATTCAATTGCACCGTGACATAAATTCCATAAATCCAAAAACATGGTAATCATATACCATTTCAAAACAAAAATTAAATAGCAGCCATATTCCATAAATTGTCGCATTAAATTGGTGCATCCATAAAACAATAACCAATGAATTCGGTGTACCACATATTAAAACCAATAAAACAGTTCAGTAATAAGTAGGGAACACACTAGAGAATCCAAGTATTTCCAGAGGCCATTGTAGTTATCATTTTGGATAACATGAAACTTATGAAATTTGAACGAATTCCTGGAACAAGGTTCTATTGAGGAGAATCGATTACTAACCGATCTAGCCAGACATTTAATGTTGATACATTAGAATCCCACTATATTTTCGTGTGCTTTAGGAAAACGTTCAGGAACCTTTATACATAATAATTCTAAATTCAGATTTACTGCGAGTGATTCCATTACCCAAACAATCAGGGTATTCAGGAATATACTTTAAATTCATAGGATTTCAGCCCAATTGAACCAAATGAGATATTCAGAATCTTTTTCATCTGCGTTACTTGTTTTTTTTTTTCAAACATGACCGAAGTGATTTTAGATGAAATATAGAATCGAAGATTCAAGTCATTTACAATCTACGACTATCGATCATATTATCAAACAACTCGAGTTACACAACTCTCAAACTGATGCATGTCAACAAGTCAATTCATTATCCTTCCAGTGTATTCACTCTTTAATACCATAGTGCAGATCCATAGATCATCCCCATAATCATCACTGAATAAATCTTCCAACGGTCTTTATTTCATTTCCACGTTTCAACAATATCAGGAAATACTGACGTACTTGATCCATGGATCATAACCCATAATGACAATCCATCATGTAAGTTCAACAGTGTTTCCAAACTCATCAAATCACCTATTTAATCCTTAGTCATTGATGTTACTTAGTTCGTTTGGTAAGCAAGTCTATCCCGATTACTTTAAAGTTTTCCAGAATAATTCAGACGTTTCTGAATTTCAAATACACGTTGTACTTCATTTCATTTCAATTTATTCATATAATAAAGTCATTCTGGTATTCGTGGTTGATTTGACTAACGACTACCCACTTATTAGTACTGTATGCGCTCTAGAGTTGAGCTGCGCCAAGTACTTCCAGAATTATCATCGATCCAAATTTGAGAAGATGAACAAACATTCAAGTGATACTTATATCATTCAGGTAATGATATAGTACTAACGTTGATTAATCACTTAAGTTGCGTTCCACAACTTTTACTGGTAGCACAACATCCATGTTTATTTGGATTTCTTAATTAATCCAAGACATTTACTTATTCTAGGTCATAAGGGCATTTTGGTCATTTTGGTGCTTAACATTTTTTTCTATTCATTTCAAAGCTTGAGTATATCCATTCATTCCTGAGCTTGGTGACATTCTTGAGTCATTTCCATTCCAGGGGTAATTTGGTCATTTTATAATTCTAGAATATTTCAATCATTTCCTTCCATCCGGTCTTATTATTTAATTCAATCTTATCATTTACTTCAGTCCTTTCGAACAATTCTGTCAGCAGAATACCTCCGTTAAATTACTCTTCAAGTATTTACTCCTTATTCGAATATTTTCGGGTCAAGTGTCTTCTCAGATTTTACAAACGGAATATTATAAATTTTTCTGTACAAAGACATGATCTTAACAATTAAATTCGTACTTAATCGAGTTAAGTACAAATCCTCAAAGTACTCTCTCATTCAGGGTCAATTCAGACTATTTTTTCTCTCAAGGGCATTTTCGTAATTTCTTAACCAGTTAAATTTCAATATTAGCTCTTAATGAAAATAATTATAATTTAGAGATCCTATGATCAATTGCTTTCCCGAACATTCTTTGATTTTGAAATGATTCATTCACAAACTCTCATAGGATTAAAACCGGTTATCCATAATTTCCAAATAAAACTAACATTTCTTATGCACATCAGTAGTTATATCGGATCAATATATCTTTTCAGAGTTATTAACCAACTTCCAGTGGCAATTCTTATCATTTTCCAACATAAGGGTAATTTCGTAATTTTACCATATCGGAGTATTCTCATAATTTTTCATCCAAGTATCTTTAACATTTAACCCTTGATGATATAAAATATAAGTTACAAATCCAGAGCTGATTTCTTTATCACCAATCACAAACTTGTAATTTAATTCTAACAATTATCAATCTCTTATCTTAGTCATTCGATCCGTATTTAGTTACAGAATTTCTACCACATTCATATCGAGTGAATAAATTATTCAACTCCACAAAAGTGACCAACATTATCTTATTCATGCATTTACCAATATCAACATGTTCCATAAAGCATAAAGAGGTAGTAAAGTATTACCTCGATTTTCCGTGCCATATCGATCGACCATTTAAATTCCATTTGAACGCCCTCGATCTTTAATTTAACTTCCAATATTTTCCTCACGATCCAGGCCATCAAAATTATTAACTCGTATCCAAATAATTTCCCTCGCCATAAAGATAGCTTATTAGAATTTAAATAATAATTTGGAAACCCAATTTGTATAATAAAATACTTGTGGGTTACTTTAATAATTAATCACTAAAATTAGAGACTGGACCAAAATAATTTACACTATTGGGCTGTAAACAAAAACTAATGAAAATTAGGAGACAAGGCCAAGTTCTTACCATATGCTTCTTCGAAATTCCAAGCTGTAGGTGGAAATCAAATAAATTTGGCCCCACATTTGACATTGGAGATTGATAATGATTTGAATAGCCATGTGTTTGCAATGAATAAACAAAATGATAATGGAATGGTCTCCACGGCAAATGCAACAATTGAAAATGCATTGGACCCCACGACAATTTCAGCACCGAAAGTAATTGATAATTCATTGGCCCCCACAGCAATTGCAGGACCGAAAGTCACATTGGATTTTCCTTTGTTCGAGTGATTGCATCGTCCACCTCTTTTCTCACTTCCTTCTCGATGTCCTTCAACTCTTTCTCAGAAGCTAGGTTATGGGATAATATCAACTTCCTAATTCTTTCAATTGGATCACGCTCATGCCTAACACCACTAATCTCATCACGTGTTATATAGGTACTTCCAAGATCAAATATGGAGCGACCATGATACCTACAGGTGTGTGTCCATTTCAAGAATTATTGGTCCACTCTTCAAGGCATGTTCTTTAGCAAACTTGCAAGCTTGCTTCACAGCGAGGGCATACATACCATCCACCTTCAAACCATGAACAAAATCCACACGTTTGTAATACGCTGGACTCTTCGCGGCTTTCCACTCGACTGGCCCCTTTAGCTCTAAAACGAAAACTTCCAGCAGGGTGTTACCACGGCCCATGAATGTGCAGTGATCATAATAGGTGGTTAAAACATAAGGTATCCATAAACAATTATCAAAAACAAGTTCCCAAGGGCCGTGGTGGTGTAGGTAAGAACCCATAGGTCTGTTCACACATTTACTTGGCTGAAACTGGAGGTTTGAATATGAGGTACGGCGGATTTTTTTAAGGTGGATATTCGTCGGAAACAAGATCGGTCAGAGATGAACATCCTGCGATGAAACGTGCATTCGATGAAGAAGAAGAGAGACATGGAGGAGGAGGAAGAAGAAGAGAGATATGGAGGAGGAAGATGAGAAGGAGCAATAAATGTTGTGGAGCCATTTTCTTTCTTTTGTCAACTAATTAAGCTGTGAATCAACAAGTAGGAAATAAAATAAAATTTCCTCTAAGCTGGAAAACGATAGATTCAAGGGTGGCAATGCATTATCCTTAATTTATTCTCATCTCACCCAACAATTTGTCCACTTCTACCTACTCTATCATCCTCATTCATAATTTTTTTTAATTAATTTACCCCATAATTGGGGTGTGACATATCGAGTAAAGTGATAAGATTTTTGGGATTTTTTTGAAAATAATACCTGACCCTCTCCTACTTCTACCAAAAGCAGGTTGAGTGTTAGCGCAACAACTTGTGAACGGCGGTTTTGCAAGGTGTTATATGTAATATGGCTAACAGGGTCGTTCCTACTATTTTATTACTCGAAATTAAAAAAACAAGCCTCTGATTTAAAAAAAAAGAAATATGTAATATAAAATTTCTATTAGAATTTTTTAATTAAATTAAATAAATAATAATCCATTACACTATTAAAAATGTCAAAAATATATTTAAGCATAAAATACTTGTAAAAAATTGCATTCGAGAATTTCTTGATGCACAATCATTATTGATAGTGTCAACATCAATGCTTTCAAACATATTTTTTTAATACATAACATAACATTTGGAGATAAAAGAACGCTCTCATTTAGAATTTAGAAATATATAAAAATCAAAAGAAAGAATTTGGAAACATGATCTTATCTAGAATTTTAAGAACAATATTCAATATGATTCAAGCACCACAATTAATGATAAACAATTGTTACTTTGTGTTTATGAGAAATTTAAAAGTGAGTAATAATTTTCAAAGGAATTGTGAAATATAAAAGAGAAAAGAAGTAAGCTAATTATACTTAATTTTTTTCCTCCCATTGAATTTTCAAGAGAATAAAATAATGTTAATAAAATTTTTCATTGATATGGAAAACCGGGAAAGAGATTTGGTGCATAGATGGTGAGAATTTGTAAAGTCTAAAAATTAAAGAGATTCAATTGATTTTTTTAAAAGTTTTGGAAAAATATTGAATTAGAGTTTTATAGGAAGTGAAACAGTTTATTAACGTTAATTTAAAAATTTTAATAATGAATATTGACACCTTAATAAACTCATAGGCCCCATTATTTTTTTTAAATTTATTATAAAAATAAGATAAATTATTATATTAATAATTTATTGGCCCTAGGAGGGCTCCCCTATTGCCTTGGCCCAGGGTCGGCCCTGATGGCTAACTATTTTTCTTATCTACGTGTTTAAAGTATTCTTTAAAATTTATATCAATAAATTTAGCATAAATCAAACAATCTTGAAGATTAATGAATTATTATTGTTCTTTGAGATCTCGGGTTCAAACATCACATATGCAATGGTATAAACATTCAATGTTAAATTTTTAAAAGTCTTTGAACATATATTATATTGTATTTACTCTAAACTAATAAAAAATAAACTTTATTTTTTATTTTTTAATAAAATAAAATTATTAATCCATTTAGAAGACTCAATTTATTGATTGTACATATAGTCATTAAATTATAAATATGAAAAATATTTAATTTAATTTATACATATAAAAATCTTAAATTCAAAATTTCTTTTAATATTGTATCAGCTAAAATTTAAAATATATATCTATTTAACTATAAATCATATATAAGTTTTACTTATGTGGTTAGATGCTCCCAAAATCTATATTTGGTATGGGTCTAAATCACATCGTTATTATTTTTCTTTTTCTTTTTTCTCTTGGCATTAAGTGAAATATAACATATATATTGTCACACCCTAACTTAGGGGCTATGTTGAAAACATTTTTGATATTTCGATATAACAAATTAAGTTAAATGAATTTTAAGATTTTCCAAATGATTTTCTAAGTATATTCGATAGAATTATTCGAATATCAAAACATTACTCCAAATCTTTCAAAGATCATTTTTAATCCTTACTCAAGTGTAAAATTAAGTTTAATCTTAAAAAAATTTTAAAATAATTTTACAAAGTATTTCGAACCATTTCAATGCCAAAAATTCCAGATTGCTCAGAGGGAACCGATTCCCCCTGAATGGTTTGGCTCCGAGAATTCTAGTATGCTCGGAGGGAACCGATTCCCCCTAGGGGGGTACCGATTCCCCCCTTGTACAATGGTCGAAATATTTGAATTTTACACTTAGGGAATCGATTCCCCATAGGGGGTACCGATTCCCCCCACGCTCCAAACTGTTTTATTAATTGTTTTCACACTAAAACGACTATATTATTTTCTCTAATCATCCCCAACATTCAGAAGTGATTCAAGGTGTATTTAAGCAAGCTTAGAAGCCATTGATCAATAACAAGAAACATCAAGCAATTAGAATCAAGAGAGAATCAAAGAGAAAGCATCAAACCTCAAGTTTGAGCATTTCAAGCCTATTTTTCATTCAATATTCATTTTGCTTTCAAGAACACTTATTGTGCTCAATTGTATTTATTCTTGAGTGTTCTTTCTTTGTTCTAGAATTGTGCAAACATATTTGCCTTGTGAGGTTTTTCTTGTAAGTTTGCAAATTTGTATTTCTCTTTGAGAAAAGAGTGTTCTCAAGAATTGAGGTATATTCTTAAGGGAGTTGTAAGGTTATCTCTTTGGCCTCAAAAGAAAGAACAAATTAGTGAATTTGTTGGAAAATCCTTAGTGTGGATAGCTAAGGTAGTGGAAGTAGACTTTGGTTGATAAAGTCGAACCACTCTAAATCGTTGTGCAATTTCTTTCAATTTTCTGCAAAAGTTTCCACCAAAATTTTTATTGCCAATTCACCCCCCTCTTGGACGATTCAGTCAATCGATTAACTCAACAATTGGTATCAGAGCCTAACTCATTTGAAGGTTTAATCGCCTCTTGAGTCGATTCGGGAAGAGTTATATCGATAATCAAAGTCATCAATGGCCTCCGCTTCAAACTTCGACTCCGGTCTCGATTCGATGCCCGTCAACATGCCTCATTTCTTCAATGGAGCTAACTATGCCTATTGGAAGAATAGAATGATGTACTTCATTCAAGCAAGTGAAATGGGAGCATGAAATGCCGTAGAAGAAGGATACATCAAACCTCTCACTCATCCAAGGTTGTGGAGTGAAGGAGAGACAAGAATGTTCCAGCTCAACTCCAAAGCCATCTATATCATTTTTTGTGCTCTTGGACCAGATGAAGATTTTCATCGTGTACAACCCCCAAAGAAATATGGGACAAACTTCAAGTCACTCATGAAGGTACCGATGAGGTAAAGAAATCTAAATTTAGTATTCTAACGTATAGCTATGAAAATTTCAAGATGAAACCAAATGAAGATATCAAAGCTATGACAGATAGATTTTCAACGATTTTCAATGGTCTCAAATCATATGGAGAGATCATTTCAAATGAAAAGCTTGTGAGGTGGACCTCGACAAGATTGACGAGACACCAAAGGAGAAGGAGAAGAAGAAAAACATTGGAGTTGCTCTCAAATCCACAAAAGATGAGAGTGATTCGAATGACGATGACGATGATGAGGAAATGGTATTGTTTGCCAAACGGTTCAGAAAAATGATGAGACCTTATCGAGGAAGAAAATTCAAACGAAATGAAGGCCTCAAAAATGAACCGAAAGAGAAGGACCCAATCATTTGCTATGAATGCAAAAAGCCAGGGCATGTCAAATATGATTGCCAATAATTGAAGAAAAAGGGCCAATCAAAGAATAAGCACAGGGCTCATGTGGCTACATGGAGCGATGAAGAAAGTTTCGATGAAGAGGAACAAGAAATAGCTAACTTGTGCTTGATGGCATTCGGGGAAGATTCTAAGGTAACCTCTAACTCATCCGATTTTGATGATTTATCCTATGATGAGTTATTAGAGGAATATACTGGGTTAGCTTCAGATAATGAGAAATTATTTTTAAAATATAAAAATGATGTTTCAAAATTGAAAAATGAAAACAAACTCATATCCAAAACCAACAACGATCTTGAAAGTAAAATCAAAGATTTGTAAATCAAACTAGAAGAGTTTGAAAAGAAAAATTTAGATTTGCAAAATTTACTTTCAAAGATCAATGATGATCATCAAAAGAAAATTGATGATCTTAAAACTTCTTTTGATAAAGTTGGAACAAAACATTTTGAAAAAGGTGGAAATTCAAAATCCAACTTTGTTAGAAAAAGTTTTAGAAACTACAATCATAGAGGTCCCCAAAGAACCTCTAATGGAAAAATCGTTAGAAGTATGTGGGTTCCTAAAGAACTCATTACTACTAAAGATAAAAATATCCTACACAAATGGATACCTAAGGGGACTAAGATTTTGGAAACTAATGAATATGGACCCAAAAGAATTTGGGTACCAAAAATAAAAAATTAATCTATGTTTGTAGGGAAATGAGCATTGCTACAAGGCACGGGAAACAAATTCAAATTCATGGTACCTTGATAGTGGATACTCAAGACACATGACCGGAGACAAAAGCCGGTTCATTGAGCTTAACGCCAAAAATGGAGAAGTGACTTTTGGAGACAATTCAAAAGGTCACATTGAAGGTATTGGTACAATAGGTAATACCTCTTCCATACAAATTAAAAATGTTTTATATGTGAATGGATTAAAGCATAATCTATTGAGTATTAGTCAATTATGCGATAAAGGATTCAATGTCTTATTTGAAATTAATGGTTGTAAAGTCATTGACATTGCATCTAATCGGATTATGCTTGTTGGTCATAGAATAGGAAACATATACATGGTGCATTTAGATTCTTTTGATATGACTAATTTATGCCTAGTTGCTAAGGATGAGCATGATAGTTGGTTATGGCATAGGAGACTAGGACATGCTAGTATGAGTGTTTTGCAACAGTTAATTCAAGGAGACCTAGTAAGAGGGTTTTCTAAGCTTAAATTTGATAATGATAAAATATGTGATGCTTGTGCTAAAGGAAAACAAAAGCGAGTTTCTTTTAAATCCATTAATGATGTATCAACTAGTAGAGTTTTACAATTGATCCATTTAGATCTTTTTGGGTCAACTAGAACTACTAGCTTGGGTGGAAAACAATATGCATTTGTCTTGGTAGATGACTATTCTAGATATACTTGGGTTCTATTTTTAAGTACTAAAGATGAAGCATTAGAACAATTCATCATGTTTTCAAAAGTAATCCAAAATGAAAAAAGGTTACTCTATAACTAGTGTTAGGAGTGATCATGGAAC